CAACCAACCAGTATCAGATCGCATGAAATATGAAATATCTTAGATTCAGTTCTTATCCACCACCATGGTCTTTTCTGTTTGTATGTTGTTGCTCACCAGTGAGGCCGTGCCACTTGTTGACTGCAAAGAGGCGGTTGGCAGTGACTGTGATGACCGCTGCGTTGGTTAGGCCTGACTGCGTGTTGGCTGCCACATGGGTGACGGGCGAGTTGGACGGGAACTTGAGTACCATGATGACGTCCTGCTGCATCTGCTCTGTGAACATCAGTGGGGTCTGCAGAAGGAGATACTGTTGAGTCCATGACCGCCATTCATCAGCAGGGAGCAAAAGAGTGTAGAGGAAAAGAGATGATGGAAGGAAGAGAAAAGAGGAAGAGAAGGAGGAATAGAGGAAATTAGGCAATGAAAGACAGAGCAGTGTAAAAAAAAAAAAAAGCACAAAAGCTGAGCCAGGGGTTAGAGGTATTTAGGGCAATGCATCACAATGCCATGGCTGCTTTGTGATTAGAGTGGGAAACTGAGAACATTTACATGCTGGCTGGGCTCTTGCCAAAAAAATAAAATATATATTTAACCACTGTGTGTGTAATCTAATTGACTAATCTTATTGCAAGAAAGTTTTTTTTATTTTATTTTTGCGCTGAAAAGGTCTCATGACTTAACTGACAAAAGGGATTGTCCACTCAAAATGAAGGTTCTGTCATCCCTTACTTACCATTACATTTTCCCAAACCTATTTGAGTTTTTTTTTTTTTTTCAGTTGAACACAAAATAAGATATTTTGAAGAATGTTGGAAAGCTGCAACCATGAACTTCCATTGGAGGTTTTGTTCCTACTTACTTCAGAATATCTTGTTTTGTGTTTAACAGACGAAAGAAACACAAGCAGGTTTGTAAGCAGATAAAGCTGAGTTACTGATGACAACCAGTTTTGGGAACAAAAGGACAAAAAAAGTTTTATTTGAATTAAAGTGACATGAGGGTGAGTAAATGATGACAGGGCTTTTATCTGGTTGTACAGAAAAAAGGCCTGTCATCATTTACTCACCCTCATGTCACTTTAATTCAAATAAAAAAAATTTTTGTCATTTTGTTCCCAAAACAAATAAAAAACATTTGTAATCAAATGTGAGAAATTTCTGTCCTTCAATTGAAAGCTTATTAGCCTAAATTGACATTTCAAAATTTTCATAGAGAGAGAAAAAAAACTACATGAACTGAATGGTTTAATTCTTCTGTAGCTCAAGCACAATTACTTAAAGAGTGAAAGTTTATCAAGATAAATCTTTAAATATCAAACATCAAACAGCAAAACCGGAGTTTCAGCAAGAACCACTGTTAGTCCCTGTGAGTCTAGCGGGTTTAGTTGACCTTCTGTTTACATTTGTTGATCTACTGTAACAATAAATATGCATTTTCTAGAAAAGTAAAAATGGTTGTCTTGTTTCCAGTCTAATTATGGGAGTTTCTGCTTAAAACAAGCAAAACAAAGCAAGTTGATTTTGCTTACCTCACTGGAAGGCTCTTTTGCTTATTATTTCTGAAAATACATGCATTTTCTTACAGGTCTATAAAATACTTCTTAATTTAAGAATTCATAAATATTTAAAAACAAGACAAAATGTCTAAGTAAGAAAAAAAAAATGCTTCCCACTAGTCTCTTTAGACAATCTGGACAACACAGCTTAGTGCATGTGGATTTTTATTTATTTATAATTTTTTTTATCATTTTAATTGTTTTGAAGTGTTAGAGTCTAGGGTGAAGAGACTTTCAAAAAAAGGACAGAAATCCTTCATAAAATATCTTTATTTGATATTCTAATGATGAATGAAATTATTTAAAATATTATAAACATTCTGACGCAGTGGGTAGCGCTGTTGCCACAAAGCAAGAAAGTCGCTGGTTCGAGCCTCAACTGGGTCAGTTGGCATCTCTGTGTGGAGCTTGCATGTTCTCATGTTTACGGGTACTCCGGTTTCCCCCACAGTCCAAAGACATGCTATAGGTGAATTGGGCAAGCTAAAATGTCCGTAGTGTATGTGTGTTAATGAGAGTGTATAGGTCAGGGGTCGGTAACCCAAAATGTTGAAAGAGCCATATTGGACCAAAAAAACAAAAAACAAATATGTCTGGAGCCACAAAAAATTTAAAGCCTTATATAAGCCTTATAATGAAGGAAACACATGCTGTATGTATCTATATTAGCTATATTAGCCTACTATAAAAATGACTAAATTGGCTACAAATACATAATGAGCCTTCATGATTAAATAGCCACTGAAATAAGGTGGTTGGTATTTATTTTGTTGTCATTAAAACACTTCAGCACAGCCTCTTGTCTTTTAGTGTTATTAATTTTATAATTTCTTCTTGCGGCCCATCAGAGTTCACATACCTGCAAAAAAACGCGTTGAATATCGGTCACATCACAGGCAATTGAGTATGCTGGCACTGAATTAATGTCCTTGGTTTGCTGATCGGTGATGTTACCTACCATTTTAATAGCCCTTTCCTTCACTGTCTTAGTGGAGAAAGGTATATCTTTATTTTTTTGTATTATCTTGGTTTTGTTTTTAAAGTTTGCAAATAGGTGTTCTAATATGTCATACCATATTTGAACGGTTTTCCATGCTTTATTATCTTCCGGTTTGTTTACAACAGCACCTGCCTGGCATCCCGCCCTGCTGATAGAAACGTGTGTCGCAGGCTATGACGCAAATCTTCGTTGACAGAAATGTTGAAATTAAATATTAATTCTACACACTTTGACAGCATTTGAAAACATTAAAAACGTTTGTCCTCCTATAGAAATCAAATTAAAACAAAAAAATATATTAACCCTCCCCCATCTTTTTGCATTTTCAAACATTTTTGAAAAAGCTCCAGGGAGCCACAAGGGCAGCGCTAAAGAGCCGCGGGTTGCTGACCCCTGGTATAGGTGTTTCCGAGTGATGATTTGCAGCTGGAAGAGCATCCGCTGCATAAAACACATGCTGATTTAGTTGGTGGTTCATTCCGCTGTGGCGACTCCAGATTAATAAAGAGACTAAGCTCAATGTAAATGAGTGATTAGAGATTCCATAATTCTAAAGAAATATTACACAAAGTAATAATAATCAATCTGTCATGGAACAGAAAGAATTTCTTCATATATCGATTAACATTTAAGTAAGTAAATATTCTAGTTATAAGCCCTAAAAATACAGTGATCAGAGATAAAAGCACTGATACAATATTGTAAAAAATTACAATTTTTAAAAATAAAATAATAAAATCACATTCTAGAAAATATGATTGCATCGAGCTCTAAAAGCTCTAAAAATATTCATTCATCTGTATTGCTAAATGAGAGAGAGAAAGATCAAAACAGCTGCACACTTTCACAAAAATCAATGCTAAATCTGACATTTTTGGTCCTTAGAGAATTTCTGAAATGTTTCTGCTGGGCAAACTTACAATTCCAGGGTAATAAGTACAAGAATGAATAAGTAAACAGAATGAAAACAGTTTGTGAAGGTTCAATGTACCTGAACTTTCCTTAGGCTGCCAGAGTATATCAAAAACCTCCATTAGAAACATTACAATCTGCTTTCTCTAGTATTCCATTCTACAAGTCAGCAGATGAAGAGAAGCTAAAAATGGTATAAGCACATATACACAGCACTATCTGATTACTTGGCAGCAAAGTCACTCAACCATCAAGTTGACTTCCTCAGTGAGAGTTTGCAGAGGCAGGAGATAATGCTCAGACTGCTCATTTTCATCCAGCATTTTCATTGGTTGTCGCTTCAAAATAAGGTTTATATTTAGAATAAATTATTCACTTTAAAGAAACACTGTCTATAATGAAGCTATGCTTTGAACTAATAGCTTCCTATATCAAATCATTGTAGGAAGTATATTTATCTGCTTTTTTTCTAAATAAGCTCATATATCCAAGTACACTTCTCCTTCGATATCACCATAAAATTGTGCTTTAATCCTGCCAAACTGTTGTTTTATGTCTGTGATGTCTAATCCTGACATGTGTGTGTGTGACTTTTAGACACAGCATGGAGACACAGGGCTAATTGGTGTGCCTGCAGTAAATTAGATAGACAGCTAGCACCTTTAAATAGTGTTCAGCCATTAAACAGAGGATCTACTCTCATTAACCTGCTGGAAACATTGAAGAGGGGGAGAACAGAGAGAGAGAGAGAGAAAGAGAGATGAAAGGATTACACAGAGAGTGTATAATGCAGATACAGAATCATATGAAAATTGAAGTAAATACAAAAGATCTTTTCTTGCTTATACCCCTTTTTCTAATTTTAAGATGCTGCATTTGAGTGTTTTTTGCATGGAAAATAATATTGCTTTGATTACAATCTAATGGTACAGTGGGAACTGGAACCATTCGATTTTTTAGGTAATTGTCTTCAGAGACGTTTTTGTTGTACTGGTTGAAAGTCTCTTCACATTCCAATAGTAATGATTAAAGTAAATGATCTAAATGTATATGTATGTTTATAATCTGGATAAGAAACAAGATTCAAAAATGTTTGTCCAATTAAAATTTGTCAGGACAATAATTCCCCTAATTCTGATATGTAGCCCAAACTGTCTGTCAACAAATGTAGATTTGTACATCTGCACACCCCTGTTCACGCAGACAGATCCACCATTTTCAATGCACATGAGAGAGTGATAGCAGTAAAAACAAATGCTGAATCAAAACTTTTTTAAATACCTGAATCAATATGGAAGTTAGTTTTGCACACTGGAGGAAGGATGACACCATGGCTAAAGTATATCTTTTAGACAGATGTCTAAATGTTATGTTGTAAAACTATTCTAGTCACACAAAGCTTATGTAGATTGTGTTGTGTTATGAAACGGTTATATGCACAAAAGATTTCACTAAAATCTTCCAGCAAAAGATTGATGTGACTATTTTCAATTTCGATACCTTTTACTGCATCAATAATGTAGATTTTTATTTAGTTTAACAACAAAACATAAGTAAATAGCGCTATTCCTAAGTATGTATGGCTTAGTAATAAGTCACTATAAGTCACTATAGTCACTTTAGGACAAAGTGCGTTAGAGAGTCCAGCAATCCTTGCACGCATGAAATATTGCACATTATGACAAGTTTTGCACGAACTGAACTACACAACTGAAAACGTGCTAGATATAATACAGTTTTTCGTTCGGAAGTGCTATAACGTTTTCTAACTGGCGAATGACATGATCTAATGGGTCCGTCATCTTTAATGTGTGCATTCATGATTTCACTATGGCAGGAGAGGGATTATGCTTACAGTTAGCATTTTGGTAGATCACCTACTGCACCTTTAATATTATACCAATAATAATAATAAAAATACAATTACGAAATGTTACAGAAGAACATGCATAAGCAATAGTAACAATTTCAGCTGTAACTGCCTGACAACAAGGGATTCCATTTGGGTTGCAACACACTCATTTTCCATGACTTCTAGATATTGGTGACTACTCAATAACAACTTTAACTAGTGCTACATTGCACACATTATTTACTCCGTCAAATCACACACCGGACAAAGAGGTGCAGTGATGTGTGACAACTCACAGGTATCAAATACTGGAGATGTGTTCAGTTGAACACAGCAGTCCAAAAGAAATAATCTAATCACCATGCAAAAGGAATGAACAAAGTGCTGTTGTTTGCTAAATAAATCATCTGTAAATAAAGAGCTATCTATTTTATTAGTATAGCTCCCTAAATAAAGCATAAACACTTACTGTAATTTAAGCCACACAAAATCAAATGTTTTGCTAAAATATACAGCGTATGATCTTTTGACCTAGTATTAAGTTGTTAAGAAGATTTGGGATAAATCTAATAAAGAATTTAAATCTAAATCAATTATTCCCCAGAAATTAAGTGTAAATAATATAATTTATAAACTGAGTGCATTTTAAATTGTAACTTTGTTAAATTGTAAACTTTTGACATGGGAAATGTTTGTGCATGCGTTGCTTGTTTGACATTAAATTCAAATCATTTTGGATAATACATCTTAGCATGTTTCAGATAACTGAATTGAGTTGCAGGATTATTAGGAAGTTGTACATTTAAAGGGTGTTTATCTGGAGTCAAAAATCCATCCAGACACTCTAACTTTACCTGTATGCGGACGTTTAGAGGAGAGTGTGTGAGTTTGTTTCCACACAGGCTGGCAGGGGCTGTCATCGCTACAAAAACACACAGCTAATGGGGGCTTCTAAGTTGTCACCTACAGTCTCTCAGATTCTAGACTAAAGACCCTATCAGAAACCCTCTCTGCCAGACCACAGGACTTTCCCAATTCTAGGACTCTTTTCTCACGCTCGGGGCTACTGAAAGTGGACAGGGAAAGAAAGTAAGTAAAGTGGGTAAAACATAATTGGTCAATCAGACTTGCTCTCCACCAAAAACAGATTCATGAAAACTTCATTCAGAACCAGCCAGTAATGATGTAATGGATCATATATATATATATATATATATATATATATATATATATATATATATATATATATATATATATATATATATATATATATATATATATATATATATATATATATATATATATATATATATATATATATATATATATATATATATATATATATATATATATATATATATATATATATATATATA